TGTACATCTACAACACTTCTCACGCCAACACGCTCCGTTAGCTCGCCCCCCTTCCCTAGACCCACGCACTGCAGACTCACAGCAGAGGCAGAGGCCTCTGCGGGACGGGGTGGGATAAGCCGCGACAAAGGCAGAGGGACGGCAGAGGCAGAGGCCGCACAATGCAGAAGCAGAGTGAATGAGAGAATGTGAAAAAAAAACAAATATAAGCTGCGGGACGGGGTGGGTTTAGCCACTGGAAATTAATTTCTTCATTGTGGCTGTAATAATGATCCAATCGGATCCCAATTTGGTGATCTGATAGATATGGTCATTCCCTACGGAATGGCGTTTTCGTTTTAGTTTTCTTTTATCTTCAAAACTGTAGGATTTCGCCCTTTTGCGGCAGGGAAGGGGGCGGGGATATTTTTTTAAATACACTGGTTTCAGTGTGAGCATACAGCAGTCCGGAGCCAAAATTTGGTGGCTCTAGCTCTTATAGTCTCTGAGAACTAGCCGACAAACAAGACGGACGGACGGACAGACAGACATGGCTCCATCGACTCGGCTATTGATGCTGATCAAGAATATATATACTTTAGGGGTCGGGACCGCTTCCTTCTGTGCGTTACATACAACCGTTATTCAAACAAATACAATATACCCTATTTACTCTTCGAGAACCGGGTATAAAAACACGCATTAACATAATAAAAGCCGACAGTGACGTGAATACCGGTACCATGATACCCCTTACTTAGTTTGTATATACATACATATGTACATATGTATGTACTTATGTACATATGTATGTACTTATGTACATATGTATGTACTTATGTACATATGTATGTACTTATGTACAAATTAGCGCTATGAATTGAGAAACTTATACAATGAATTCCTGCACTCCAGGGGCTGAACTGCACGAGGAAGAGAGCAAAAGCGTGCTAGAGGAGGCAGCCACCTCAAATTTTTCATTCAGTATGGCAACAATAATAATTTAATTGGACTGTGTTTCTGCAAAATCAGTAGAAATATTAAATTTTCATGATTCTGAATTTTTTACAAGAACTTGAGATGGCGAAGGTTTTTCCAAAGGTTCGTTGGGCGCCACGCATGTGGCGCTAACAAATGTTAGCAATTGTTTGGGCAACCAAACACTTCAGACCATACATTTTCGGTCAATTCAAACTGGTACAGATCACAGACCCCTTACATGGGCCAAATTCAAAACTAGTTCGCTGGAAACGTTTTTAAAACATTTTTGACTGAAACAGTGTGAGCATACAAAAGTCTGTATGCAAAATTTGGTGGCTCTAGCTTTTATGGTCTCTGAGTACCAGGCGCTCATCAGGACGGACAGACGGACAGACAGACATGGCTCAATTCTGAAGAACTTGAGACGCAAATGTACATATGTACGTCATGTCAAAAATAACATGGACAGTTTTTTATGCTTCAGCAATTACTCTATAAATGTTTATTTTAAGGAATTCTGGAGTGATCCTTATTTTTATATTCGGTACTCGAATTGTAAGTTGGGTATATTATATTTGTGCACAAAAGTGGATGTAAATTCTTAGTTCCGAAGTTTTGGCAGATCGGTATACAATTTATACTAATGACCATTCGTCTCGTCGTGGAGGAGGGGTTCCGATTGCAGTGGACTCTTTTCACATCGGAGCCTTTTATAGTCCAGGTATCACAAGACCTGGAATTCCTCTGTGTCGTATATTCCACCGACTTTGGATGTCTTCATATACGAGCAGTACTTGTCCGCATTAAAACTGTTTCTTCCTCGCTATCTGATAAAGACGATTTAATAGTTCTGGGGGATTTCAACATGCCAGGTACTCTTTGGTCTTCGGTAAACGAGTCTAATAACCTTGTGCCCATGTCACATGATTTTATTGATGGCTTATTAGACCTGTCCCTGTCTCAAGTCAACCATGTAAACGAGAGGTGGTGGAGTACCAGCCTTTATAATTGTGATGGTAGACTGCCTCAGCTCCTGATGGTTTTTTTTCGATTTGACATCCATCTACAATAAAGGGAAACCCAATTTACATATGTATGTGCATATCTGTAGATGTATAATGCATTTTTCTATTGCTTTCTTACCTAGACACTGTGGAAATCCCATCTCTTCGAATCCTTGGACACATTCGTCAAGTCGTTTCACATCTTTCAAAAAATTCCAAAGTTCCCCATGGAGGGGCTCAGTGTGCAGAGCCTATTATGAATTAAATTCAAGTTGTTTCAGTTATAATAGTCTTTTCCGATGTTAACTATCGTATTTTTATTTGTCCATTTCAATTAATTTAAAAAGGTGAGTACTTCTAGAATCTAGAATCTTAATTGGAAAAATGTTCCCCATATGATCTAGAGTTGATGTTTTGAGTATGCTGAGTTTTTTTAGTTCGTTGGCTGGTCAAAGCAGATTACTATGGGTTCCTAGCGGTATTTAGCTTACACATTCATTTGGCTTAGAAAAAGACATATTCGCCGTAATAAAATATACATTTTGCTTGGAGTTAAGATGTACATATGTCTTCNTTTTATAGTCCAGGTATCACAAAACCTGGAATTCCTCTGCGTCGTATATTCCACCGACTTTGGATGTCTTCATATACGAGCAGTACTTGTCCGCATTAAAACTGTTTCTTCCTCGCTATCTGATAAAGACGATTTAATAGTTATGGGGGATTTCAACATGCCAGGTACTCTTTGGTCTTCGGTAAACGAGTCTAATAACCTTGTGCCCATGTCACATGATTTTATTGATGGCTTATTAGACCTGTCCCTGTCTCAAGTCAACCATGTAAACGAGAGGTGGTGGAGTACCAGCCTTTATAATTGTGATGGTAGACTGCCTCAGCTCCTGATGGTTTTTTTTCGATTTGACATCCATCTACAATAAAGGGAAACCCAATTTACATATGTATGTGCATATCTGTAGATGTATAATGCATTTTTCTATTGCTTTCTTACCTAGACACTGTGGAAATCCAATCTCTTCGAATCCTTGGACACATTCGTCAAGTCGTTTCACATCTTTCAAAAAATTCCAAAGTTCCCCATGGAGGGGCTCAGTGTGCAGAGCCTATTATGAATTAAATTCAAGTTGTTTCAGTTATAATAGTCTTTTCCGATGTTAACTATCGTATTTTTATTTGTCCATTTCAATTAATTTAAAAAGGTGAGTACTTCTAGAATCTAGAATCTCAATTGGAAAAATGTTCCCCATATGATCTAGAGTTGATGTTTTGAGTATGCTGAGTTTTTTTAGTTCGTTGGCTGGTCAAAGCAGATTACTATGGGTTCCTAGCGGTATTTAGCTTACACATTCATTTGGCTTAGAAAAAGACATATTCGCCGTAATAAAATATACATTTTGCTTGGAGTTAAGATGTACATATGTCTTCTAACTATACTCTCTGTACTCTTGTTGCTTATGCTTGACCAACATCATCATTCTATGCTTCTTCATTCGCATTTTTATGCTTGTTCTGCAATGATGTGGAAAATTAATATCGTAATCTCTAAAGTAACATTTATGTTGCACATACTCAGTTATTTGCAATATGAATGAGAAAGCGTTCTCAAGGTTAGGGAACTCTTCCATGCGTGCTCATAGAAATAAAGTTTTGTTGAATGTGATACATCACATATGTATATACATATGTACGAGAAGGGACGTGTGAGACGCTTCTTACGCGTCACAACTTTTATACCCGGCACTCAGTACTACATCTGCACCTTAGCGGTGTTTTGTCCAATTTTAAATTTTTTCTTCAACTGTCATCTACATCTACAACACTTCTCACACAAACACGCTCCGTTAGCTCGCCGCCCTTCCCTAGACCCACACACTGCCGACTTGCGGCAGAGGCAGAGGCAGCGCCCGCACACAAAATAAAAAAAAAATATAAGCTGTGGGACGGGGTGGGTTAAAAGTCGGCAGAGGCAGCGGCAAGGGGAGGGCAGAGGCCGAGTGAAGCAGAAGCAGAGTGTTAATGAGAGAATATAAAAAGAACAACAAAAGCTGCGGGACAGGGTGGGCTTAGCCACTGCAAATTAATTTCTTCATTCTGGCTATAATAATGATCCAATCGGGTCCCAATTTGGTGCTATGATAGATATGGCCATTCCCTACGGAATGTTTTATTTTATCTTCAAAATTGTAGCTTTTGTAGGTTTTCGCTCTTTTGCGGGGCGGAAGGGGGCGGGGCTAATTTTTTAAATACACTGGTTTCAGTGTGAGCATACAGCAGTCCGGAGCCAAAATTTGGTGGCTCTAGCTCTTATAGGCTGTGAGAACTAGCCGACACACAAGACGGACAGACGAACGGACGGACGGACGGACAGACAGACATGGCTCTATCGACTCGGCTATTGATGCTGATCAAGAATGTATATCCTTTATGGGGTCGAAATCGCTTCCTTCTGTGCGTTACATACAACAGTTATTCACACAAATACAATATACCCTATTTACTCTTCAGGTACCGGGTATAACAATGTATGACATATTCTTCGGTTCTTTATGTTGTATTAAACAAGCACAACGTTAAAAAAATAACTTATCTGGCTCCTTTACGGTCAACATAAGATACTTCCGTTACATCTACTAAGGCTTAGAAAAACTCTAATGTGTATGAAAAAAATAATCAATAGGGGAAACAAATTCTTGGCGATATATATATTTTCTACTGAAAGGGAGCTAACTGCACAATTTCCGCTATGGGAGCTGTCACGCGGTGAGCTATAGCCGGATTCGTTACGGTAATTGGGAGTTCTAGTGAGGTGGGTACGCCACTAGTGTTTGTGGCACCGAGGACGGCCAAACTGTCATCCAGGTTAACCTCGCCCAGGGGAGAGACACGTCTCAGCTGCACAGCGCTCGGATTCTCCAGCGTGGACATTATAGGCGTCTGGTTAAGAAGTGCATTCGTTTCGTTGGTGCGAGCCGTGATGGGTGGTGTGAGGTGTGCAGCAGCTGGCGGTAGCACGTGTGAGACAAACACGACGCCATCGGACTCCTCGTCGCCAACGTCTATGAGGCCAGTGCCGGCAGAGCTTCGTGTCTCTATGTGTAGCAAAGCCACACTAGTGTTGGTGGCGTTTACATAATCGGTGTCGTTGACCACTTGGCAGTCAGCAAGTGCTTCGGCCAGCAGGTCCGTGCCGGGGACTGTCATTTCCGATGCTCTACAGACTTCCTCCTCGTCTAAGGTCATATCTTCCACATTGACCAGCTGCAAGTCGCGCTCCTGAAGGTATGCCTGGGCTGCCTGAAGTATATCGCGCGCATGAAGCACGGCCCTGACACTGCTGGCGCCAGTCTCATCGACAGTTAGCTCAATGCAAGAATCTGGCTGTTCTGCAATGGTAAAAAGGACTGAAGGGTCCAGTTCAAGGCGATGCCCGTTGACATTTAGCTGCAGTACGTTAGACTGTAATTGGTCCTCGTGCAGCGACAACTCCTCGTCTTCATTGATGGTGTCACCAAAACTGGCCGAAGGCATAACCCCTTCCACTTGGCTTAGGGGCGTCATGATACCCAATATTTCCACCTGTTTGTGTTCGTATGTGGTCTCCTCCGTCTGACTATTAACGACCTGCATAGACGACGTCACTGAAACGTTCAGCTCGGGTGCGTCGAACTGTTCATAACTGGTGTGCTCAAAATCTGTGTCCATCTCTGTCTCCATATCAGCTGGCTCCACTACCTGAGCCACAGCCTGGCCACCACGGAAGTCTATGTCCGCAAAAACAGCTGACATCGGATGGCCATCTGCAAGACGTGGCGGCTCCAGCAACGCCNCCACTTGGCTTAGGGGCGTCATGATACCCAATATTTCCACCTGTTTGTGTTCGTATGTGGTCTCCTCCGTCTGACTATTAACGACCTGCATAGACGACGTCACTGAAACGTTCAGCTCGGGTGCGTCGAACTGTTCATAACTGTTGTGCTCAAAATCTGTGTCCATCTCTGTCTCCATATCAGCTGGCTCCACTACCTGAGCCACAGCATGACCACCACGGAAGTCTATGTCCGCAAAAACAGCTGACATCGGATGGCCATCTGCAAGACGTGGCGGCTCCAGCAACGCCTCTCGCGGCACCGGCACGAGGTGGTTCTTCTCGCTATCCAGGTACAACGCCACGTTGTTCAACGGCATGAAGTTGTTGTTGACCAGCGAACAGAGCATAAATGTATGGTTGTAGCCCGGTATAGGACGAGTCATGACAGCGCAGATGCGCCCTGCGCACATTTGGTGCTGCAATGAGCAAAAATAAAATGTTTAACCATTCACTATTGCGGAAAAAGGTAATAGTCGACCTTCCGACAAATAAAACGAGAAGAGACGGCCCTCAGTACCACATCTGTACCTTAGCGGTTATTTGTCTAATTTTAAATTTGTTCTTCATCTGTCATCTATGTACATCTACAACACTTCTCACGCCAACACGCTCCGTTAGCTCGCCCCCCTTCCCTAGACCCACGCACTGCAGACTCACAGCAGAGGCAGAGGCCTCTGCGGGACGGGGTGGGATAAGCCGCGACAAAGGCAGAGGGACGGCAGAGGCAGAGGCCGCACAATGCAGAAGCAGAGTGAATGAGAGAATGTGAAAAAAAAACAAATATAAGCTGCGGGACGGGGTGGGTTTAGCCACTGGAAATTAATTTCTTCATTGTGGCTGTAATAATGATCCAATCGGATCCCAATTTGGTGATCTGATAGATATGGTCATTCCCTACGGAATGGCGTTTTCGTTTTAGTTTTCTTTTATCTTCAAAACTGTAGGATTTCGCCCTTTTGCGGCAGGGAAGGGGGCGGGGATATTTTTTTAAATACACTGGTTTCAGTGTGAGCATACAGCAGTCCGGAGCCAAAATTTGGTGGCNGTATAGGACGAGTCATGACAGCGCAGATGCGCCCTGCGCACATTTGGTGCTGCAATGAGCAAAAATAAAATGTTTAACCATTCACTATTGCGGAAAAAGGTAATAGTCGACCTTCCGACAAATAAAACGAGAAGAGACGGCCCTCAGTACCACATCTGTACCTTAGCGGTTATTTGTCTAATTTTAAATTTGTTCTTCATCTGTCATCTATGTACATCTACAACACTTCTCACGCCAACACGCTCCGTTAGCTCGCCCCCCTTCCCTAGACCCACGCACTGCAGACTCACAGCAGAGGCAGAGGCCTCTGCGGGACGGGGTGGGATAAGCCGCGACAAAGGCAGAGGGACGGCAGAGGCAGAGGCCGCACAATGCAGAAGCAGAGGGAATGAGAGAATGTGAAAAAAAACAAATATAAGCTGCGGGACGGGGTGGGTTTAGCCACTGGAAATTAATTTCTTCATTGTGGCTGTAATAATGATCCAATCGGATCCCAATTTGGTGATCTGATAGATATGGTCATTCCCTACGGAATGGCGTTTTCGTTTTAGTTTTCTTTTATCTTCAAAACTGTAGGATTTCGCCCTTTTGCGGCAGGGAAGGGGGCGGGGATAATTTTTTAAATACACTGGTTTCAGTGTGAGCATACAGCAGTCCGGAGCCAAAATTTGGTGGCTCTAGCTCTTATAGTCTCTGAGAACTAGCCGACAAACAAGACGGACGGACGGACAGACAGACATGGCTCCATCGACTCGGCTATTGATGCTGATCAAGAATATATATACTTTAGGGGTCGGGACCGCTTCCTTCTGCGCGTTACATACAACCGTTATTCAAACAAATACAATATACCCTATTTACTCTTCGAGAACCGGGTATAAAAACACGCATTAACATAATAAAAGCCGACAGTGACGTGAATACCGGTACCATGATACCCCTTACTTAGTTTGTATATACATACATATGTACATATGTATGTACTTATGTACAAATTAGCGCTATGAATTGAGAAACTTATACAATGAATTCCTGCACTCCAGGGGCTGAACTGCACGAGGAAGAGAGCAAAAGCGTGCTAGAGGAGGCAGCTACCTCAAATTTTTCATTCAGTCTGGCAACAATAATAATTTAATTGGACTGTGTTTCTGCAAAATCAGTAGAAATATTAAATTTTCATGATTCTGAATTTTTTACAAGAACTTGAGATGGCGAAGGTTTTTCCAAAGGTTCGTTGGGCGCCACGCATGTGGCGCTAACAAATGTTGGCAATTGTTTGGGCAACCAAACACTTCAGACCATACATTTTCGGTCAATTCAAACTGGTAACAGATCACAGACCCCTTACATGAGCCAAATTCAAAACTAGTTCGCTGGAAACATTTTTGAAACATTTTTGACTGAAACAGTGTGAGCATACAAAAGTCTGGATGCAAAATTTGGTGGCTCTAGCTTTTATGGTCTCTCAGTACTAGGCGCTCATCAGGACGGACAGACGGACAGACAGACATGGCTCAATTCTGAAGAACTTGAGATGCAAATGTACATATGTACGTCATGTCAAAAATAACATGGACAGTTTTTTATGCTTCAGCAATTACTCTATAAATGTTTATTTTAAGGAATTCTGGAGTGATCCTTATTTTTATATTCGGTACTCGAATTGTAAGTTGGGTATATTATATTGGTGCACAAAAGTGGATGTAAATTCTTAGTTCCGAAGTTTTGGCAGATCGGTATACAATTTATACTAATGATCGTTCGTCTCGTCGTGGAAGAGGGGTTCCGATTGCAGTGGACTCTTACTTTACGTCGGAGCCTTTTATAGTCCAGGTATCACAAGACCTGGAATTCCTCTGTATCGTATATTCCACCGACTTTGGATGTCTTAATATACGAGCCGCCTTAAAACTGTTTCTTCCTCGCTATCTGATAAAGACGATTTAATAGTTCTGGGGGATTTCAACATGCCAGGTACTCTTTGGTCTTCGGTAAACGAGTCTAATAACCTTGTGCCCATGTCACATGATTTTATTGATGGCTTATTAGACCTGTCCCTGTCTCAAGTCAAACGTGTAAACGAGAAGATATGGTCATTCCCCACGGAATGGCGTTTTTAGTTTTTTTTTCTTTTATCTTCAAAATTGTAGGTTTAGCAGGTTTTCGCCCTTTTTCGGGGGCGGAAGGGGGCGTGGCTCATTTTTGAAATACACTTGTAACAGTGTAAGAATACAGAAGTATGGATGCAATATTTGGTGGTTCTAGCTCTTATAGTTTCTGAGTACTAGACGCTCATCAGGACGGACAGACCGACGGACAGACAGACACGGCTCAATCGACTCGGCTATTGATGCTGATCAAGAATATATATACTTTCTGGGGTTGGAAACGTTTCCTTCTGTGTGTTACATACATCCACTTTGTGCACAAATACAATATACCCTATTTACTCTTCGAGTACCGGGTATAAAAACTACCTATGTCGATTGCTTGATCTGTGCTTCATCTCGGATCCGACCGTAGCGTTATTAACACGAGCACTTTCGCTCACTATACCTGAATACTGCTATCATCCTACTTTTAAAGTGTCGGTAGATATTGGACCTACTGTATCGGATTGGCGGGTAGGCTCTGAACGCGTCCGGTGCTTTCGTAAAGCCGAGTTTACAAAGCTCAATAGCTTAATTAAGGATTTTGATTGTTCCCCTCTGTACTCGTGCACTGACGTCATTGAAGGCACAAACATCTTTTACAATGTACTTGAAACAGTTTTTGACACGTGTGTCCCACTCTCATGTCCGACTAGATCTGCGAAGCCTCCTTGGTTCACCAAAGAGTTACCCAGTCTAAAGAACCTAAAATCGTGACTATTTAAAAAATCTCAAGAAATTTCTAATTACTTAATAAATCGGTAAAATTACACTGTTTTTAATGCTCAATGCTATAGGAACTACCTACTTCGATGCAGGATACGTTTTTCACAGGACCCTAAACAGTTTTACAGCTTTGTACACAGTAAGCGTAGAACGTCCGCACATCCATCTTCGCTATCGATTTTGAATACGTCGGCAAACAATGATCAGGCAATCGCCGATCTTTTTGCACAATTTTTTCAAACAACCTATTCCCAGGAAAGCTACCCAGGTCATATGTATCAATATAGCTTACCAAGGTCGAGTGGCATTTTCTGCCCTTTGTTTAATAAAAGCTCCTTACTTCATGAACTTCAATTAGTTAAGCCGGTATTTTCACCGCGCCCTGACGGAGTTCCCGGCTGTGTACTCAGGTACTGTGCCGAGACTCTGTGCGGACCTTTGCTTAAACTATTCACTCTATCCATCCATTCTGCTAGCTTTCCCCCATCTGGAAGGAAGGGGGAAATTCCTCTCCATAAGAAAGGTAGCAAGTGTGAAGCTAAAAACTATAGAGGTGTATCCAAGTTATCCTCTATTCCTAAGATGTTCGAGAACATTTTAACTCCGCACTTGCAACATCTCTGCAATTCACTTATATCTCCAGCTCAGCACGGATTTTTAAGGCGACGATCAATAACCACTAAACTTTTAGAGTTCACCTCCTTTGTCATTGAAGGATTCCAAGGTAACTTGCAGACGGATGTTATTTACACTGACTTCAGTAAGGCATTCGATTTTGTAAACCATTATCTTCTTGCACAAAAGCTCGACCTTCTAGGGTTTCCGCCCAATCTGTTGAGATGAATTTCTATCTACCTCTGTTCTAGGTCTCAAAGAATCCTCTTCAAAAAATCCTTATCTTTACCTGTTATGGTTACTTCTGGAGTAGCAAAGGGTAGCCATTTAGGCCCCTTACTTTTCACACTCTTTATTAATGACCTGCCTTCTGTATTGACAAATTCTCGAGTACTTATGAATGCGGATGATGTTAAGCTCTGTGTCCAGTATAAGGACATTTCATTTCACTCTCGCTTGCAATCTGATCTCAATAGAGTTGTTTTCAGTCATGGTTTGGTACAAATATGTTACTCCTTAATGCCTCGAAATGGATATTGAAGTTTTAGAGAACAAAGAACCCTTACCATGCGAAGAGTTTTCCTTAAATAACACCACTAAGGAAACACTAAGCACTTTGCTTAGTGATAACAGTAATATCGAAAGCCATACCCCGGATAAATCCGACTCTACCGATGCTCCTTCCGCTAATATCCTCAGTCCCAGTACTGAAAACTCTTTGCGCTATTTGACAGGTTTTGTTTTGCACAAATCCCAAAAAAAGTTTAACTGCAATACCTGCAGCGAGCTTTTGAAGGACAGCATTGTTTTTTTTTTAACAAAAATTTTAAAACAGTTAACAATACTTTAAAGCTTAAGGCCCCGCAGGAAGATTTTTTAAATTTAATTAAAATCCATTACAGCCTCTTTCACGACGTCTTTCAAAGCAAACCCCATGTCCGAAATATAAAGCAACTTATTTTTGACCAATGCATTTTAAAAACGGAAAGCAATCTGAGATTTAGCGATTGGTTTTCGGAAACACACGTCTGCAGTGCATATAGAAAAGATATTCTATGCTATTTTTTGCTGGTTCTGCTTCGAAAGAATAGCATATGGCTTTCGGAAAAATTGTTAGGTACTTCGGCAAATAGGAGCTCATATAAAATGAAAATATGAAACTCTTAAAATCTTAACCTAATGATTAGAGGCCTTGGGGTCGAAACGATCTTAACCTATTCTCAAACTTTAAATGGGTAAGAACCTTAACTGTCTTGATATGAAGTTTAAGGTGATGATATAATGTGCCCAGTGGGCCACTTTTGGTAAGCAGAACTGGCGCTGTGGGATGAACCAAACGTTATTTTGCGGTGCCCAAATTAAAAAACCAAAAAAATTCAACAAAATTCTATAAATCTAGCAAGAATCTGATACATATTGGTGAATTTTTGGTACAGGAAGAGCCATCATCATCAATGTATGTATTAAAAAAGGTATGCATGTGTAACCGCACACAAGAGACTACGAAAGCGACTTGAAAAGAAACGATAACTTTTATACCCGGCAGTCAATACTACTACATCTGCACCTTAGCGGTGTTTCGTCAAATTTTAAATTTTTTCTTTATCTGTCATCTACATCTACAACACTTTTCACACCAACACGCTTCGTTAGCTCGCCGCCCTTCCCTAGACCCACACACTGCAGACTCGCGGAAGAGGCAGAGGCAGCGCACGCACAAAAAAAAAATAAAAATAAGCTGCGGGACGGGGTGGGTTAAAAGTTGGCACATGCAGAGAGACAGTAGAGGCAGGGGCCGAGTGAATCAGAAGCAGAGTGTGAATGAGAGAATGTGAAAAGAACAACAAAAGCTGCGGGACAGGGTGGGTTTAGCCACTGCAAATTAATTTCTTCACTGTGGCTATAATAATGATCCAATCGGATCCCAATGGTGATCTGATAGATATGGCCATTCCCTACTGAATGGCGTTTTTTAGTTTTCTTTTATCTTTAAAATTGTAGATTTGGGAGGTTTTCGCCCTTTTGCGGAGGCGGAAGGGGGCGTGGCCTTCTTTTAAATACATTTGTAATAGTGTGAGCATACAGAAGTCTGGATGCAAAATTTGGTGGCTCTAGTTTTTATGGTCTCTGAGATCCAGGCCCTCAACAAGACGGACGGACAGACAGACATGGCTCAATCGACTCGTCTGTTGATGCTGATCAAGAATATATATACTTTATGGGGTCGGAAACGTTTCCTTCTGTGTGTTACATACATTCACTTTGTTCACAAATACAATATACCCTATTTACTCTTCGAGTACCGGGTATAAAAACCTCCTAACTTCGATTTTTATTGAACAAATTTAAAATAAGAATTAAAAATCATTTTAATATATAAATCGTATATAGAAGGTTTTGGCTGATAGCCATGACTGAAATATAATTTTCGGTATATTTTATGTTGCTGTAACATATGTATATCCTTCACATTGATTTATTTACTTAAATCTATCCTTCATAACTGTTATTTGCGGTCCCTGGACAGAAGCAAACAAACAAAAAATGCCTACCTGATAATAAGAAAATAGTAGAAAAATGTTGATACGTTTTGAGTTTATGACTCTAATTGCTGTATTTATTATTTTGACCAATACGTTTTAATGCATTTTAGCTTTAATGGATCACAGACTACATAATTGAAACGAAAAATGATTTTGTTAATCATTTTTATACCCGGTACTCGAAGAGTAAATAGGGTATATTGTATTTGTGCACAAAGTGGATGTATGTAACACACAGAAGGAAACGTTTCCGGACCCATAAAGTATATATATTCTTGATCAGCATCAATAGCCGAGTCGATAGAGCCCTGTCTGTCTGTCCATCTGTCCGTCCTGATGAGCGCCTAGTACTCAGAGACCATAAAAGCTAGAGCCACCAAATTTTGCATCCAGACTTCTGTATGCTCACACTGTTACAAGTGTATTTTAAAAATGAGTCTGCCCTGAGTCTGCAGTGTGTGGGTCTAGGAAAGGGGGGCGAGCTAAAGGAGAGTGTTGGTGTGAGAAGTGTTGTAGATGTAGATGACAGTTGAAGAAAAAATCTAAAATTTGACAAAACACCGCTAAGGTGCAGATGTAGTACTGATTGCCGGGTATAAAAGTTGTGACGCGTAAGAAGCGTCTCACACGTCCCTTCTCGTTTGAATACTGGATGGCAAGAGTCGAAAACCACGCAAGAGGAGGAGCTACAAATGCCCTTCTGTTTCCTGGTCACGTCGGTAATACACTTGAAACTTGACACGGACTTCGACACTTCAACTTTCCTGACTGTGCTGAGTAGCGTCATACCCTTAAGAGGCAAGTATACCGCGACAGCCGCCCCAATAGCATAGGTACAAACCGAACACCAATGGCGTAGCAGCACACCGACCTTATTACTCGTACCCTGCATGCTGACATCTAATGGGAATTCTTTCTATGGGAATCGACAGTTCGAATTTTTAAACTGCATTGTAGGCGAGTCAACGAGAACTCAACGCTTGCATTTGAGCAGATATCAGCCCTGCTTGCTAAAATCTGCTCAGTGGGTAACTGGGTAACAACTGATCCACATCTGATACTGAGGACAACTATTTGTCGCTCACTTCTTAAGTGGACGACCACTAACCACAATACCGGAGGCTGACCTGGATCGCATACCTGGCCGGGATGTTGAGGAACGCCTCCGATATTATCTAGTTTCATATTTCTTTAGAAGATCATCTCTAAGAAAGGAACACCCAGCGAAAAAAACAAGAAAATAAAAGTAAGAAATTATAAGGTAAATAAGGTAAGAGAATATCTGTATAAATTCCCATCATTTCTTCACAGCATCAATATATGCCAAGAACGTGACTCGATTCCAAAACAATCTCATACGTACATATACTGCGCAGAGTCTGAGACAAAACTGTTATATAAACTACCAATCCACTGCAGCCTTGTCCAGGCGGTAGTCTTCGCCAATAATAGCCTATCACTTATCATCACTCTACAAACAGGGCTCGGCACGCATTGGTGGCATTGGTGACAACCACTGTAATACACGTAGATGTGTCGGCAGCGCAGATCATAAGTACAAGATCATAGAGGTTGGAAAACCAACCGCTAACACTTACATTTTCTAGACTCTCGTGCTGTTCCTTCGTATCACATGACGTCTCAACGGTATCGTGGCCAATGACGCTCCCTACGTTGTCGCTCCCTACATTGCGAGAGCGTCGACGCTGCCTCCGCTGCCCAAATGGCAAGAGCGGCATGGGCAACGAGCTCGAGCGACGGCGTTGCTGGTCGCGCAGATCTTCCAACTGGTGGTGGGCTTTGACAACGTCTTCGTCGCTAAAATTCTGGGCATAGCTCAGGTCCGCACTCTTGGATATGGTGGAGGCTGTTGATGAATTTACCTGCGAAGAGCTGGCCGGATGGAGAGCCAGAAGCGACAACACTGGCGTTGCCGCCAAAACCGCTGAGGAGATCTGTCGCTGTGGCTCAGGTAACGAGCTCACCGATTCTACAAGGTTCATTTTGATTTGAGAGTCCAGCGTGGATGGCTTCTTTACTTCCGACTCTTCCGCCTCCATATCTGTCTTAGAAAGCTTTTGTTCTAGTTGACCAGCTAGATCCACCTGAGGTGTTCTTAATTCCATGTCTAGAGATACTGGCTTTACTAGCAGATTTCTATCTGAATCAAAAGACGAATCCCCTGTAGATTTTACTACTTGGCTCCAGCGTTCCCGCGCCCTGCGGCACTTTTCGGCACTCCGTCCGCTGACCAGATCAGCCTCGTATTGTCGAAGTAGTTCTTGCTCCCTTTTTTTCAAAAGCAGCTCCCGTTTTTGGGGCATAAAAGACACTGTGGGTGCCATTGTTGAGGCAACCAGTTTCGTCTCTTGCTCAGACCCTGTCTCCTGGAATGTCTCAGAGTCTAGCCCCTGTTCTTGCTCTGGTTCAGACTCAAGCTTCAGCTCAGATTCGGGCTTTTGCTCTGGGCTATGCTCTTGTGGTTTCACCCCGTGGCCTTCGTCCAGAACTTTCATGCTAATATCATTGGCCGCCAGTTCGGACTTAGCTCCATGAGGTACGTCTTTTTCAACTTCTTCCGAATCCTGCTCATGTGTGTATCTTAAATGTTCCTCCTCGACGGCTACCTCGTCGTTTGACTTCTCGCGCCGGCTATCATTGCTGTCTGACGAATGTAGACTCCCGAAGGGTAGGCGATCGTAAAGATTGGGCAGCCGTATGTCCTCCAAAATTAAAACACCCCCTCGCTGCACAGGCTGTGTGGCATCCACAATGGCTTCATTGAGACCTGATCCCGACGCGGTTCTTTGAAGCTCCCGTGCCTCCTCTGCTGAGATCACAGCGATATTTGAGGCAATCGAGCAACTCGTGCTGGAGCTGAGAAGGGGGGATGCAATTCTACTTGTCTTTGAAATTGAACTGGAATTTGAGATATTATTGCTGTTGCTGCTACAGATGTTGCTAAGTTCCTTGGCCGTTGGTTTGGACTTTAGCTTTAATCGAGCCATTAGCTTTGACATTAGGTGCTGTTTACGGAATAAATCTCTTCTGGGTTGACAGCTAATTTTACTGCTGTTGCTCGCGCTGCTTGTGCGGCTGTGCCCGCCATTAAGTAATTGGGGAGAGACTCCTCCCCCGCTGATCAAGTGAAGAGATGCGCCGCTCCTGCCGGCATCCTCTTCCTTGTCACTAGGTAGTGTTAATACAGAAATTGGAGGACTATCATCTTTCGTCACTGCCTCCATCGATTTGTTGCGTGACTTAAAAATGCGCTTCTGCCGTTCATTGATTGGTAAGCTCAGCCGATCGACAGCAAGCTCCGTTTCATCTGGTTCATGCTCAGCGTATGGATGCAAAATTTTCTGATCGTCGATTGGTTTAAAATATCGATTACTCTCATCAGTGGCTGCGGCGGCAGCCGACAATTGTAATTCATCGTCGAAGCCCTTGAATACAACGTCATTGCAAATATTGACTTTAGATCTAGTTGGTGCTGTCGACGCTTGTCCCAGCTGCAACATATTCCCGGCTTCCTTTGACAACGCTGTCGACACGGGCCAATCTTCTATATCCACAGTGCCTTTTTCATTGGCGCCAGGGCGGTGAGTGCGAAGTCTATAGCTCAACCTATTTTTCTCATCCTGTTGCTGCAGATCCTCCTCCTCTTCAAAGTCGAAGCAGGAGGAGGAATTATGGGCCTTGCATTTGTCATTTTCATTACTTCTGTTGCACGTTAGAACCAGATCCTTAACAAAAACGACACTCTCGTTAGAGCTAGCATCGCTGTCCTGAATGACGATTGGTTCGTCTGTTTCCAGCTTGCTGTCCACGTCGAACTCCAAGAGCACCACGTCCCTCCGGTCCTTCTTTGGTATGTTTCGTATTCGCTTCTTTGAATGGATGCCTCTATTCTGTTCCGGTTCTATTTCTCTGTTCTGAGCTTTATCAATTGTTTCCTCGTGATCAATTAAGACATCTAAGGGCTCCTCACATTCATCGTCGCCCCACTCGGCCATCAGACTTAGTTGAAGCTCGAAAGAGGCCGTGACTTGCGACTGAGAATAACTTACTTTTGGTGTCTGCGCCGGTGCTGGTGTGGGTGTTATTGGTAATGGCGATGGAGAATTTTTAGCGAGAACTGCATTCGGTGGTAGCGGAACTGCAGAATACTGAAATACATCATATGTGTATTCGGAATAACTAGCTACGTTTTCAAATTTTTTTTCTTCTCTGACTACTAGAGAATTCGGTGAATTGATTTTCGAGGCTGCTCTCTTTTTTGGTTTCACTTTTGGTGAGCCACATTCAAGTGAGATTTGATTTGATCCTTGATCTGGAACTGTTGTTTTCTTTAGGGTCTTCTTTGCCTGACTGGCCTGCTTGAGTACGAACATAGCCTGCTCAGCGATAGTCGTTTCCAAGGAGCTGCGACTTTCAGTGGCAATACTACGCGGAGGCAGTGGCAAAGCTAGCGATTGCGGTCTCTCTTCGGTTAGAGAAAAGCCATGCTGATGACGGGTCATGGAGCGTGTAAGACGCCGCTGCTTTGCCGGAGGCTGTTCTGAAGCAGGCATTGTGGCGCGCAACCTGTTCAAGCGCTGATTGCGCGGGTCCAGTCGGTTCTGTCTACTTTGACGCGGGGAAACAACCTGAGGCGAAGACGGCCTGGAGTTGCTGTTGCTATGAGCCATGGGCTGCACCACACGCTCAATGCTTTCCATTGTGATCTGGGCTATAGAAGCCACTCTGCGCTGGGCCTCATCGCCGAGTGAGGCGTCCACCACAATCGAGACGTGGCGCGAGTGGCAACGGAAGTGGTTGCTGCTGTCCTCACTGCACCTTCCAAAAAGTTGGGGAGAATCGAAATCATTAGAGGTGTTGGCGCGTCTTACTGCTCTTATCTGCCTGTTGGAGCTGTTACTGCTGGCGTTCTGGCTAATGTTGTTGCTAGTGCTATATTTGCTGGACGACTCCAGGTGCCCACGTCGGTGAACGAGGAGAACATTCATACTGCTGGTACGGAAACTGCACATGCTGCACTCGTAGCTGGCCTCGGTAAAGCGCTCTGGCACTGTTTCAGCTGCTCGCGCAATATCCATAATACGAAAAGTGGACTCCTGCATGGGAAAAGCGTAAGAAATTATTTTAAGAGACACCCAGCCGACTTACTTGCGTAGGTTTCGATGAAAGCCCATTGCAGCTGCGGGTGCTGCTGATCTGGCTGTTGCTGCTGCTCGAGAGGAGCGCCTTGATCAGACTATCTGGTCGTGAAGTGGCGTGCGCATTTAACCGTTGATGATGGTTACGAGACTCTGCGATTGCTACATCATCATTAAACTTGGCCCTCATTTCCGTGCTTATTGCTTCGGCTTTTCCTACAAAAGAATTGAGGCAGAATAAGAATATATATATTTATATAAATCTCTCACTTTTTTCGAGATACTCGTTATGCTAGATCAGCTGAAGTTAAATACAGATCAGATATATACATAAATCAGATACGCAATTTACAGATTTTTAATTTTGATCACGAAGAAGACAGTTCGAGGCGATCTAGCCATTTGCGGATATCCTTAAAAATATTTTCAAAAGTGAGCTTACATTTTTATACCTGGTACTCCAAGAGTTTAAGGGATATATTAGATTTGTGGGGGAAGCAACGTGCGACGGAAACGTTTCCGACCCTATAATGTATTTAAATATTGTAGAAGGCTCTTGGCGAATCAATAAATAGGCACACACTCGGATTCTCATTCAATTGTTCTTTATTATACCCGGTACATGAAGAGTAAATAGGGTATAATGTATTTGTGTGAATAACGGTTGTATGTAACACACAGAAGGAAACGTTTCCGACCCCATAAAGTATATATATTCTTGATCAGCATCAATAGCCGAGTCGATAGAGCCCTGTCTGTCTGTCCATCTGTCCGTCCTGATGAGCGCCTAGTACTCAGAGACCATAAAAGCTAGAGCCACCAAATTATGGAAATGGCCATATCTATCAGATCACCAAATTGGGATCCGACTGGATTGTTATTATAGCCACAATGGAGAAATTAATTTCCAGTGGCTAAACCCACCCTGTCCCGCAGCTTTTGTTGTTCTTTTTAAATGCTCTCATTCACACTCTGCTTCTGCTTCACTGGGCCCCTGACCCTGCCCACCCCCTACCGACTTTTAACCCACCCCGTCCCGCAGCTTATATTTGTTTTTTTTTGTGTGCGGGCACCTCTGCCGCGAGTCTGCAGTGTGTGGGTCTAGGGAAGGGCGACGAGCTAAAGGAGCGTGTTGGTGTGAGTAGTGTTGTTGATGTAGAGTGCCGTGAGTGCCACTGAGTGCCATGTATAAAAGTTGTGACGCGTAAGAAGCGTCTCACACGTCCCTTCTCGTTTTTTAAAGAATTTTTCAAATCTGTAGAGGTAGTGCTTCTTTTTTACCAAAAATTCAAATATCTTAAATCTGATTATAAAAAACATCTTAAAGTGTACTACATTGTGGTTTTAGCTCACCATTTGAAAAATATTAAGCTTTGAAATGCAACAATGTTGATATTTGTGAGGTATTTTTTACGATATTTTTACTTCAAAAACTCCACAAGCATTTCAAAGCTTGTGTGTTTGGGTATACATTATAGATGCATTTATCAGCTTTACAGAATGGGTAAGTTCACTACGACCAGATGTTAGATACTTAAGTTATGTGCAAAACAATGCCAGACTTTAAAAAATCTTAAAAAAAAGTTATGCCAAAGAAAAAAACATAATTTTTTAAACAAGTTTACATCTTTTGTCTATTAGAAAAAGTCGGTTAGGTTCGAAGCAGAAAAAGAAGGTTGCATTTTTTTGAGTAGTGTAATCTGCATAAAGGGTATATAAAATTTCAACAGAATGTCCCTACATAAAAACGTTCAAATAAAATATATTGAACTCTGTTGGAAGCTGCCGAGCTTTTTCGGCAACTCTGACTCCACATATACTACAAATACTCTCCGTATTTAGTTTTTAATATTTGAAGGGGGCCGTGGCCGTGAACTACGATTCGGTGTGCTACACTGTACAAGAGTTGAGAGCCCGATTAAAAATATAACGGGTTCGCGTTGGACATATAAATAATTGGACTGCTTAGAGAGATGCCCGGCGATCGACAATATTTCAGACTACTTCAAGAAAAGGTCGAAGCACTGCAAAATAAGCAGTACGAAGGGTACATATGTACATACATATTTACACATGCGCGCGCTTCTATGCACTGAGAGGGAGCGATTTACATGAGCGCGACAATAGCATATACATAAGTATAAGAGATAAACGAGACGAGCTGATCTTAATAATTATGTATTGATGTTGCTCCCAACATACTCCCCCACGTTGAAAGAAATGAAAAAGAGATCTTGTTAGACACAAAGACGTTGAATTTGGAAGACTCCTCTCTCAGCCAAGACGGACTACAGTGGAGTCCGACCAACAATGGATTGGGCAGTCGAAGGTACTAATTTTCCTTATTTCGCGAAGTAAATTGGCTAACAGAACGCTTTACAAAATTCTAGTTGAGGGTTTTTAGTGAAAATTGAAAATTGTCTCGAGCGAGAAGATCCTTGGGTTGAGTCATAATATCCAACACTTCCTCTGCCGAATTGCCTCCAGAAATCATATCGTCCACGTAGAAGTCCTGCAGAATGGTTGCCGACCCCAATTTGTATGAAGAAGACCCAATCATGGCAAGCGGATGCACAGCTCGAAAGAAATATTGGCACAATCTGAAGATTGCGCTGTGATAAACGATGAGAGCCTGGGGGCCGAGTGCCCGACATCTTATCTATCCGAGATGTGTCTTCTGCGGCAGTCTAGCTGAAGTTGTTTCACACACAGCAATTTGAAGAACAGTCCAGCTCCGATTGTATCAGAAGGACTATTGGATATTAGGGGTTTAGGCAAGAGCGGCAGGGACCAGATTTACAATCCTTTTGTAGGCAATTAAGGCATAATAAAAGCCTACCTGACGATCATTCGGCGACAGAGGTGCAAACCGTGGAAAATTGTACCTCATTTTCAAGCGTTCGACATATTTTTTCCAAAAATCCCGACCATTTTTCCCACGACGTCAGCTCCTGATTCGACGAAGTTTCTTCCCATCTGTTATGAGTGGCCTTGGCCAGCTTCCGAAGTACCGTTTGTAAAAGAATACTGTCTACTACTTCTTCCTTGCTTGCCAGCGTTTCCATTGCACAAATATGTGAGGTGACCCTCTATCCCTCTGATATGTGCCTGCAAAATAATCCCTTTATTATCAAAGCTCCGCTTTAAAATATCTAGTGATACGATATAATTAACCTCATTTATTTCCAACGAGCTGGTATTCAGGGCTGCACCACTCAAACAAGAACGCAGATGCTGCAGCATTTCGATAGAGGTCAGCCTCCTTGTCAATGATCGCGGTGAACATTGAGAAGAAATTTGCCCACTCCTTATGAATTTCACCGAATTTGGGCAGCACCAGTTTAGGTAACCGAGATCGATTGGCCATAACGATGATTGATTGGGATTCACTTGAGTTGGGGTTGATTGTGGAACAATTTTTAGTGCTTGACTGACTTCCAAGCTCGCGCTGAAGAATGGTCCGCAATGATAATATGAACGAGTCGAATTTTGCAGGTACTTCTCTGGACATGCGACTCAAAATCAATTTTTTCTAAGCTGTTGTGCGCCTCATCAAAATTAGATTCCAGTACACTCCATTCGGACATTCATCTGAACGGATTCTAGCCTATCGAAAATAGACCTAGACCTAGATCAAATGGAGCAGCGTCAAATGCCACCGACTCAGCTGTGTTTCACCAGCCTCATTGCCCAGAGCAAACGATATATTTTATCTATCATTTTTTCCATATCCCATGTTTCGGCTCTAGACTGTTGGCATGGAGTGTATTAGTAGATCACAGTTAAAAACGATTATTCAACGAGTGAAACAAGTTCAAACGTTTAGTGTGCTCACTCTTGCGGCACTTTTTATATGCACCGCATGAAGCAATTATATAAGGAGGTCTCGTAGGCAACATTTCTTCCCTAACAATGCTGTCAATAAGTGTAAGTGAAACGACAAAGGAGTTTTCTGATTAACCTCTGTTGGCATTTGGTTTAAAATTGCCCATTGCAAGAAAAGGAGTTGAAGTTTTCTTTTGTTATTTTGATTTTTAAGTAGTCGTTACTATTGTTTTTTAATATATATTTGTTTTCGTAGGCTCTTAATTCTTAAATAATTTGCAACTTTCTTTCTGCAATATATAATATATCATATTGTGCGTAAGTTTAATATGCGAAACAAAATGCAGCCGACGAGACCTCCTTATAGAATTGCTTCATGTAATTATTAAGCTGAAATTACACGGTGAGTCCGAATCGCTGATTCATGTGTACATACGTGTGATGCTCACGTGCGATTTCACGTATACAATCTTAATGATTCACAGAATAAGTATCACATAGATTTACATAGATATTTGCGCGAGTCATGCGCTTTTCGGATATGTCTCTCTCGTGCTGCTCTCAGGTATGATCCACGATTCATGGCAGAAGATTCAACGTGTGAACAAAGCGTGATACTTCACATACATGAAAGCTAATTTCACCTTAAGACATAAACGAGACGAACTGCTAATAAATCAAAACTGCATAGACAAAGAAATTGACATAAAAAGGAATAACCTAATCAAAATGTATAGCTGCTTCATACAGCTAAACGAATTTGTTACAATTAATTCAATGTTAGATTCTACGCACAATTTTTACGTTAGTAAAAACATAACTAGAATATAACCCTTGTCCTATGTTCAGACGAAGGAAATAGTAATAGAACATACGAAGTGTAACAATAAATTTCGAATAATTAAAATTAAAATGTTTAATTTAATTATAATTATATTTGGGGTTTTTATTGCTAAATTGAAAAAGATACATGCAAACATTATAATCAAAAATGTAAAAGCAAAGGGAGAAGAAGGAAAATATACTCCAGCATATTTGGATAAAACACCTTCCCTTTACCCTTATGTAACTTCTGAGGACAGGCTGATTAGAAATCTTATCCATATATCCACATATACATAATTCCCCACACATCCACACATTATGTACCCAGCACCCTTATACCTAGATATTCCCCTATCTCTAAGAGAAAAGATCACCGACACCGGCATCAACAGGGAGTCGCACACATTCCGAGAAGCTCAGATTCGAATAAACAACTCATTCCCACACTTCAGTCCAGAGTCACCCCATGCGATCCAATAAACAAAGGAGGTAAGGCCATAAGAAAGATGATATCCATCATCCGATGCAGCCATCCTTTTTTTCAAAGCCGACGAATCCCACAGCCA